CTCCTGATTACCAGAAGAGCTGGGGAAATAAATGGGATAATAATAAATTATCCAAGTACAAATGAACTGGCCTCACCACCCCTGAATTGCAAACCACTGGAAGTGTGAGCCTTTGATTTCCCAATTCACAGTTCTTTTACCTTGGAACCCAGTATTACTCCAAAACCTGACCACATGGAATTTGACTGCACTTTGTGATTATTCATCCATTGACACTCAAACCACTCAGAGATACTAGGGAAGAAATGATGGTTCGGTTAGCCCATGAGTCTGGGAAATAATTTCAGAATTGGGATACCAGCTGCTCTGCTTATTGAACCAGAAGTATTTGACTTTCTGTGAAACCTCTTCCACAAGGCTTCACATTAAGGTCATGAGCCACATGAGCTCTTGTAATCTCTCTGGAAGCCAAGAGAATCTAGCCATTTATCCTTCTTTTACCTAGTTTCTGAGATCAGTAACGAAATGGAATTACATTTATTTCTTTGAGCTCTCAGGCAACTTTCCTTTGAGCTCATAGCAGACAGGTGACTATTTCTTTTTCCTATGTTCCCTGTTAGGTGAGTAAATGATCTGAGAGACCAATATACCCAACAACCCTTTCTGCAAGCTTTTGTTTCCCAGAGAAATCTAATTTTTATCGTAGGCTCTTAATTTATATATCGTAGGTACTCTCACCATCTCTTTGTCCTAGACCTAATCATTTTAGAAGTCTTGGAGCTAAACAAGTCGAAACTGTGCAGGCTCTTAAGTTCGGTTCCTGTAGTACAGAAAACTTGAGTTAGACTGTTAGATTTGGTCCTTCTCACAGTTACAAAGGTGTAAATCAGGATTATCTACGTGGAAGTCAGTGGCGTTACACTGGTGTGCGTAGAGTTGTCTGTAAACTTGGTCACACCTTGCCACCCAAAAAATATGCTTTTAATTGAATCTAAGATATAGAGGTATTAATTAGGTATGCTGGTCATCAGATTTATACACATGTACAAATAAAATTCCACCAAGCATCACGTTCACTCTGAGCCCTCTATTGGAGAGAGAAGACCTTGCAAGAAATCTGCAGGACAGCTACTAGAACATCCCCATTTTCATTCCTAAACCAGACTCACTTTTCGTGTGCCAGTGGGGTTCTGCAAGTGTAAGTTCTGTTATTTGCACAATGAGTGAAAGTGCTGAAAAGTGTACGTATAGGTGGTTGTCTGCATATATTTGAGCGTTCATGAAAAGAGAGAACACTTTGGAGATTTGAAAGTCTTAGTGGATTTCTGAGCCTCAGTGGATGCTGTGTGTGTTGCTCAATAGATGCTGCTTAACCATCCTGATCTTAAATCTTTCACCTCCCTCCACACCTCACCCCAGTGTTCTGCTTCTCTCCCCTCCCACTCTTAACTTCATGCTTTCTTTCATATTGCTCTCAAAACTTGCCATGGCATTCCTCTTCCATCTCATCCTCAATTTCTTTCTTTAAATCCTTCCTCAGAACTCATATTCTTTCACCTTGCTTTCCACCACTGACCTCCAATACTGTACTATCTACACCATCCCCTGGTGCTATCTCAGTATCAGTCTAGAAAATATCAGAACTTGTAAGATGTAGTCTCAACATAAAGTCGCTCACATTATTTATTTTAACCCTCTTTCCTAGCTCTCCTTTTGTCATCTTCATTTTCTATTTAGGTAAGGCACAAAAATTTCATGGAAAGTTCTGGTGCTATATAAACAATATTTTTCTTCTGACATTGTAAGTTCTTTGGGACAGGGACAGTATCTCTAGGCGTATCTTGTACAGGACTGAACACTCAGTCAGAAGTTAATCTACACTATATAATGAAAACAAGTAACAGTGCTTATTTGCCCCAGTATTGAGACTCCAGATTGGTGGATGTAGAGATGTAAGAGGCTAGGACAATTTTCACCTTGTCTGTAAATTAGTCTTCTCATAATTCATACATCCACCAATCCAGAGAAACCACCTCCTATAACATTTTTCTCTCTCGATCCCTCTTCTCTGGTCTTCCTTTATTTTTTCTCTAGAATTACCATTACCTGTAGCTTGGAAAGTTACTTTCTGAGGAAATGGTGCATTCAGCTCTATCAAGAAGGTTTTGGTGACCAGAAATAGTTAGCTGAGCTGCCTCTGGGCTCTCCAATGGGTGGGACAACCCAGTAATGAGATTTTGGATTGGTGAATGTATGCATTATGAGATCACCTATTTCCAGGTAAGACAAATTTGTTCTATTTAGCTACTCAACATTACTATTGAGTACTCAACATTACTTATAAATTCACTGCAAAATGGACACATTCTTATTTTCATTTACAAATTGTAATGATTAATTCAGCCTGTAATCTACTCAGCTAACACTCTGGATTTGTATGTAAAAAAGAGACCACACAGTTCAGGGTTGTTAGTGCTCTCTTTTTTCACCTTTTGTTTCTGAAACAATATTGAAGCAGTTAATAGTGTACATTGATGGTTAGGCTGTGCTCTGAGTTTTTGACCATGTGCTTTCCTAAGTAAAGCTGTTTTCCTGGCTGTGGTCTAAACTTGGTTAATTTTTCTTTCTATTACAAATATTGTTTTACAAATCCTTTACAGCAGTTCACTCTGTAATTGTGATAGATCAGTAATCACTGCTCGATAATAAAGTATAGACCAAAGGAAACGACTCTGTGTCAGTGTTTGATTGCATTGTGAGGAGCTCTATGGAACATTGTCCATGTAAGGTGGTTTTAAAAATGTATGTATGAGACTGTGTACACAGCATCATGGGAACAGTAGTGACCACTGTGGTTAAGATTTCAGACACTTTTCACTTTAACCCTCTGTTTTTAGTTGCCTATAACTTTGCAAAACTTTCAGTTTTGGAACCGAAATCTTCCAAGTTTGGTCTCTGGCCAAAGGTGATTTTTTTTTTAAGTTTGAACGAAAATGGTACAGAATTTTTTGAATACAAGGAGAAGGGGAGGAAATACTTTTCTCATAGATACAGTCTTTTAAAAACATTTCGCACAGCTTTGCTGCCTAAATAACTGGGGAATGAAAGTCAGAGTTTGGCATGGAGATAGCCTTGTTAAGAGAAATGCTCTTGTGTATGTTAGTAAAATTTGTGGATTTGACTGAGGTCTTGTCTACACTGGTGGTTTGGTTTGGTTTTTTGCATCAGTGTAGCTGCTCTAGTATAAATAGTGACATGCGTGAGCATGACCTCAGTGCAATTCACCAGTTTCTATACCAGTGCAGCACTCCTACCCTAGAGGGTTGCAGTAATGCTGTTATATCGGTGTCAAATGTGTATGTAAACCCAGCCTGAGTTACCAATTGAAAATTGTTTGCCGTGGGTGGGTGTTTTACATGTATGTGCCCAGCTAATTTAACTGTGTAATGAAAATGTATTGAAGAGGTACATGTGCTGGCCTAAGGGCTCCACAGACATGTTTGACTCCTTTTCTCTGGACCTTGCAAGATATAAAGGGGTTGAGCTATTGGATGCACTTTGTGTAAGGTTCTTAGCGTCCCATTCTGGATGAGCCACCAAGTTATTCCCACAGTTAGCCTTTGTAATCAGAGTTCTTATTACTGCTACCTTCATCCTTCCCTCTCTTCTTTTCCCTTGTATTGTTTGTTACACTCAATTATTTTGTCTTAAATGAGATTGAAAGCTCTTTGGGGCCCTTGTCTTCCTATGTGTCTGTACAGTGGACATAATGAGGCCACCACTCTTGATAACAATGCTAAAAATTAATAACAATAATAATGTACCTTAAGAGCTCTGGAGCTGGGAATGCCCAAAGCCTTAATGCAATAGCCTTAAGTTTGACTGAGGGCTTATGTTTGAAATATTAACCTGTGTTTGGTGCTAATATATATTTATGTATAAAATCATACTTGTACAATGGTATCGAAATTGTAGTCTGAATTTTACAAGTGGCTGTGAGATAGGTCATACGCAATTCAAACATTACTGCATTTTTTAGAATTTTTGGCAAAATATCAGTTGTACATTGGCTGTTCATTGTTTTAACAGAATCCACACTTAAGTTAAACATGTAAGTAAAAATAAACTATTTGTCATTCAGGGAATTTTCCCCTTCAAACTGGGGAGGGTGTTTTTTTCCCCTTTTCCTTTGATGCCAGGATGCTAGTTCTGCAGAAAAATGAGCTCTGTTAATTTCCCCTATGGTATAATTGCTGTGTTCAAGCCGATCATTTATTCTTTGTTTGTTAAGTATTACTCTGAGGTAAACCCTATAATCTCTTACCCAGCAATACCATTTGGCTTCTTCAAGCCTTTTTTTTCTTAGCCCTAAAACTATTTTGAGGTCAATTCTGTATTTCTTTGGCATGTAATGAGGACAGTGCAGTTTTTTACAAAATGTGTGGTTATTTAGAGCTTCAGCAAACGGTTGGTTGGGTGCTCTTTCTAGAAGTTCCCATTCTTGACATTACTCACTCGGTGGTGCTCTATTTAATTGTAGTTTTCAAAGTATTAATAAATTATTTACATTTCAATTACTTTGGCCTTTTAATGCAGTGAAGTCATCCTGGGATATTTATGCATGAGAACTATTTCATCAGTTTTAGAGCCTCTCTCTCCAGCCATTGAAGACTCTAGCAGTAGGATCTTTGTCTACTTACCATGTTCTTTACACTTGCTAATCTTAGTCCAAAGCATTATTTTAACTTCATTCCAAAGAAGGAGATTCTTATACACATAATATTGTTGCATTCAAGGGATTATATAAAACAAGCTGGAACGAAGAATTGTTCTGTGTCAGCAGATTTGTGTATTTCCACACTGAACTAGTTAGAAGGGGCTGGCAGTGGGGGAGAGTTCTGAATCAATGCCCACCCCTCCACACTGAAAGCCTTACAATAATCAGAATTTCCCTGGTCTTGTCAGTCAGTAATCATCAGTTGGATCCCAGAATAGGGGGAAAGAGCTAGCTAATTATCTAAACAATAAAAGTAAAAAAAGAATGTTACATTTGATTTTAGGTTCGGGAACTGCAAACACGTTTACAGAGCATCCAGGCAACAGGCCCATCCAGTCCAGGTCGTCTCACTTCTGCAAACCGACCCGTGAACCCCAGTACTGGAGAACTGAGCACCAGCAGTAGCAGCAATGACATTCCCATTGCCAAGGTGAGCTGTTGTGTGCTGCAGTGATGCCTCATATTATCTGGAAGAAGCAGACTTCATTGTGCACAGCTGCTGTGCAGGCATGCGATTAACTGGGAAGTATCATCTAGAATCCCAGGGGTGTTTTCAAGGGCCCTAAGCGGGCCCATGAACTCAAGCTGCAGGAAGAGATAAAGTGCTAATAATTTTAAGTCTCTCTTAGTCACAACACAGATGCCAGCTTTCATTTATCAACTTAACATGGGATTTCCAAGCACGCTGAATGTGTGAATAGGGTGACCAAATAGCAAGTGTAAAAAATCGGGATGGGGGTGGGGGGTAATAGATGCCTTTATAAGAAAAAGCCCCCAAAATTGGGACTGTGCCTATAAAATCGGGACATCTGGTCACCCTATGTGTGAATGATGATGCATTTTGCATAGTTGTGGAGAACATGGGGCGTGGGATGCCTGTCTGTAACTTGTGTAGCTTTGTGGCTTTTAGATTGCTGAACGAGTGAAGCTCTCAAAGACAAGGTCAGAGTCTTCATCGTCTGACCGACCTGTCCTAGGATCAGAAATCAGCAGCATAGGGGTGAGTGCTAATAATAAATCAAAATAATAAACTGCGCACACAGCTCATCCTAACATGAGTATTGCAGGAAAGAGCCAGGGGTGACTGTTATGTTGTTAAAAACAAAAACAGTATCTTACTATTTCAAAGCTAATTTTATGGAAAATATTTAACAGGAGAGAGAGAATAAATGAATACGCTTGTGTAATCCCCAGTTTTACATTAATGTAGTCCATGCAGTTGCCATAAATTGGTGGCCAAGGACCTAATCCTTGAAACCCTTGCTCATCTGAGTAATCATATTGACTTCAAGGAGACAATAAATATGAGTGAGGATTACTCACATAAATAAGGGTTATGCAGCTGCACCCCAAGTTAGACATCTCTAGAAGAGTAGTATATAAATTCTGCTCTGATAACACCAATGTAAATCCAGCAGAACACCATTGCTACTCCTGATTTACACTTGTGTAACTGAGAGCAGTATTTGATCCTTTTGCTCAGCTTTCTTGAAAGTATAGATGTTCTCCAGAGAGCCTGAGAATCTACAGTATTTTTAAAAACTAGCCATCCACTCTCAGCAGGTTTATTATTCACCCTGTGCAGGTGTCTAGCAGTGTGGCTGAGCACTTGGCCCATTCTCTCCAAGACTGCTCCAACATCCAGGAAATCTTTCAGACGCTCTATTCACATGGATCTGCTATCTCTGAAAGCAAAATCCGAGAGTTTGAAGTGGAAACAGAGAGGTTAAATAGGTAAGATGGAAGGTTAGATGCACTTGTAGTATTTTGCCAAGTATTCGTTTTGTTAAATTGATTTTATTTTCATTATTGCCTGTCACATATCTTATATGTTCATGCTTGACTCCCAGTTCGTCTCTGGCAGCTCCAAATAAATGTGAAACTTGGATAATAAAGAGGTGATCTTAACATACATTAACAGTTTTTTCTACGAATATGATAATTTGAACATGTATGCTAGGCCCTGTAATGGATTTGAATCTCTGTCCTATGTAGTAAATAAACCATTTATTTCTCATGTCTTTTCATGTCCAGAATTCTAAACTGTGGTGTGTTCCCCATATTCCTGAAGCTTGGAGCAGACCAGCAGATATGGCATTTTTTTCTAAAACATACAAATGTTATTACTTAGGACTTGCGTGACTACTACACCATTCTAGAAACAGGGTATTTTGTTTTCTGCTGGGGTACCTGAATAATAGTGTTCAGAATCAAATTGTCTCAGTGAGTGTGCTCATTTTAGGTGAGGTGGAGAATGGGTGTATTGGTTGATCACAGGATTAGTCATCAGTGTGATGCGACCATGAAAAAGACTAATGCAGTCCTGTGATGCATCAGGCCAGGTATTTCCAGTAGAGATGGGGGAAGTGTTAGTACCATTATACAAGGCACTGGTGAGACCTTATCTGGAATATTGTGTGCAATTCTGGTCTCCTGTGTTTAAGAAAGATAAATTCAAACTGGAACAGGTGCAGAGAAGGGCTACTAGGAGGAGCTGAGGAATGGAAAACCTACCTTATGAGAGGAGACTCAAAGAGCTAGGCTTGTTTAGCCTAACCAGACAAAGGCTGAGGGGAGATATGATTGCTCTGTATACATAAATCAGAGGGATAAATACCAGGGAGGGAGAGGAATTATTTAAGTTAAGTGCCAATGTGGGCACAAGAACAAATGGATATAAATTGGCCATCAACAAGTTTAGGCTTGAAATTAAGCAAAGGTTTCTAACCATCAGAGGAGTGAAGTTCTGTAACAACCTTCCAAGGGGAGCAGTGGGCGGGGGGGGAAACAGACTGGCTTCAAGACTGAGCTTGATAAATTTGTGGAGGGGATGGTAGTGTGGGACTGCCTACAATGGCATGTGGCTCATCAGCAACTGCCAGTAGCAAAAATCCCCAATGGGTGGTGATGGGACACTAGATGTGGAGGGCTCTGAGTTACTATAGAGAATTATTTCCCAGGTATCTTCCTGGTGGGTCTTGCCCACATGCTCAGGGTCTAACTGATCACCATATTTGGGGTTGGGAAGGAATTTTCCCCTGGGTCAGATTGGCAGAGACCCTGGGGGTTTTCCGTCTTCTTCTGCAGCATGCAGCACAGGTCACTTGCAGGTTTAATCTAGTGTAAATTGTGAATTCTCTGTAACTTGAAGTCTTTAAACCATAATTTGAGGACTTCAATGACTCGCCAGAGGTTAGGGGTCTGTTACAGGAGCGGGTGGATGACATTCTGTGGCCTGCGATGTGCAGGGAGGTCAGACTAGATGATCATGATGGTCCCTTCTGACCTTAAAGTCTATGAGTCTAACAGTATTGCTGATATCACTGGACCTTGTACTGTATTAATCAAGGCCTCGTGTTTTATTAATTACATGAGCTCAAAATTATAAATAAAAAATCCCAGAATTATGTGGCACTGCACTCCCCCTTACTGCTTTTCCCAGTTCTAGTCCAGTCTAGTATGCTTTTTATTTGATTATTTTGATATGAATTAATTTTATGAAAATGCTCCCCCTTCTTTTCAGTGAGCTGCAGAATTTTGTATTGACAACCCAAACATTGGAGAAGTTGTCAAGAGAGTTAGCTGGAGCTTTTGACAGCTTGGTAGGGAACTGCTGGGACTTTGGGCAACCTAAAAAACTCAGGGGTTTATTCTGGCTACTGAGGAAGGGATGTGCTCACTTTTTTCCTACCCCATTTACAGGTGATGAGGGGGTGACTTCAGATTTTTGAGAGGCGTGATTGGTGTTGATTTCCTTATTCCATACCTAAGTAAATCTTTACAGCAGTTAGCTGTACCCTGCTGCTACATTCAGCAATGATGGATAAGTACGCAGCTTGATGTCTCTGCCAAAATGATAAGCAGTGAGGTAGTCAACAATGTTGACATTTAAAGTATTAGGGCTTGTTTATGTGAACACATACTTGGCAGCAAGCTGTGATGGAAATCTACTTCACACTAGCCTGCCCTGCACTAACTGTCCATGTGGATCTAGTTGGTGCACACTAAAAGTTCCATAGTACGCTTTGAAGCAGGGTATATCAGTGCACACTATGGAACTTTTGTTCTTCTTCGAGTGCTTGCTCAAGTCCATTCCACTTTAGTAGTGCACCATTGCCAGAGATTTTCCCCTCAATAGTATCTGTCGGGCTGGCTGTAGTGCCCTCTGGTGCCGTGTGCTTATGCGCCAGTGTAAGGGGTGAGGCCAGCCACACACCCTCTCAGTTCCTTCTTACTGCCTGTGACGGTTGCTGAAAATCTCCTCTTGCTTTGGCAAGGTGCCTATGAGTGCTTTTTTCTTCTCTGTATCATAGTTTAGTCTGTAGTTTAGTTATAGTGTATATATTGTAAATAGGGTTAGTGTAAATAGTACCACCTCCCCTTATTGTTAAGGGGATTCCTTCACCACTGTGGCTGGGCAGCTCACTACCACAAGATGACTTTTGGCCCCATTGAGAGCTCTTAAAGCGGATAGCAGCTAACCCGGGGCTAGAGATTGAGGATCTTAAGGAATCATCCCTCGGTCTCATTGACGTTCTGGCAGCAGCAGTTCCATTTAAGGTGGCCTTCCCCATTAATGAGGTGGTAATGGGTCTGGTCAAAGGCCTGTGACAGACCCCATCTTCTCTGCCCCCCACTTTGAAAAGAGCGGAGAACGAGCCTTATTGGGGAGATATGACTACAATTTGTGGGACTCCTTGGTCAAATTTAAGGACTCTAGGCAGGAATTCTCAGCCCTCTTAGACAAGGGGAAGAATGTTGCCAGAGCCTCTCTCCAGGCAGCATTAGTTGCCACAGACATGGTGGTGAGGACAATGGCTTCTGCCGTCACCTTGAGGCGATGATCTTGGCTTCAGTCCTTGGGATTCCCTCACTATTTTCGGAGCAGATGAACACAACACTGCACACCCTGAAGGACTCCAGGGCACTACTCAGATCCCTGGGCCTCAATGCTCTGTTTGCTTCTAGGAAGCACTTCTGGCGCCAGCAGCCACCATGCTTCTCAGCTCAGCCTCCAAGACAAGAACCCTATAAAAGAAAAGGGAGAGGTTACTAGCACCGTCAACCGCTTCCATCCACCTCAACCTCCCAGCTGGGGTCTCATAGGTACTCCGGTGGACCCAAGCAGGACTTTCGATGATGCGCCCCAAGGCGCTAGACAAGTTCCTGTCGGACTGCTGGGTGCTAAATACAGTGGCAGTTGGCTATACCCTGGAGTTTTATGCATTGCCCGTGCCCCCAAAGAACTTACAAGTTGATTTAAGACAAGATACAAGTGTGACCAAAAGGTAGGAAGGCAAGATAGAGGGAGGATAAGGATAGTAGTAATAAGACCACGCTGTTACATAGGCTTTCTGCAATGAGAAAGCAACAGAGAATTCAAAAAAGGATGTTTTATTCTTTGGTTGGTTCTTCAGTTGTTTTTTTAGTGGTGGGGGATTGTCCCAGATCTAAGTAAACATCCTCCCGTGTTCTTGTCACAGTACATGGAACCGATGGATTTAGCTGTAGTACTTTAAAATACTGCCAGCCAAATGTTCTTTGACATTCTAAACTGGGATCATTTTGGTGTTTTCAAGACAAATAGACCTCTGTCTCTGCTTGAAGGTTAAACATTATTTCCTTCTCTACAGCCGTATTGAGCACTTAAAATCCCAGAATGACTTGTTGACAATAACGCTGGAGGAGTGCAAGAGCAATGCTGAGAGGATGAGCATGCTGGTTGGGAAATATGAGTCCAATGCCACGGCACTCAGACTTGCACTGCAGTACAGGTATGTAAATATGTGGCTTGGGAATTTGAGCCTGAAAAGTGAGGGGACAAGACTTGCTACAGAACTTTAGGACATAAAGCTGCTGTTCTGCAACAGAACATCCTGCTTCTGTTCCATTCTGGTGTGAGTAATGATGCACTGGCTAGATAGGTTCATGAGGCAGCTACATTTAGTTATTGTCTGATACGTAACTCAACTGTAGTCAGAGGCGTTTCATCAGGGATGAATTTAGCTCTGTCACACTAAATAGCTTTACCTCTTCTTTTTGGAAATACAGAATGAAGATTAGAGTTAGGGAAGATTTGTTTAGTTTTTCTCCCTCCTTCTCATATGTACATGAAACAACCTTTGCAGGTTTTACTGAAGAAAATAAATAAAGAAAAAAGTGATTATGATGATAGTAATAAGGAACTTGTGATGTTAATATGATGGACGTTGCTGGGAATATTTTTCCAATATTTCTTCAGCGAGAAGAAATGAGTCAGTGTCTGAGAAATGTTAAATCTGTGTCTTGCTCTATTTGAAGTGTGTTGGGTGCTCACAGTCCAGTGTCCTCATCACATAGGCAGCCATGATCATTAGCCATCCCAACAAGAGGTTAAGGATTCAGTAGGTAAAATGACTGAACTCCACTCTCACACTCTAGCATCCCTCCAGATGAAGGTTGGGGCACGCTGGAGAAGCACTATGAAGAAGCTTGTGCTGGAGTTGTCTGTGCTTTAGCTGTCTGTTGTATAAATAGAAGACTTCAGTTTCTCCTACTGTCAGTCTAGCATCTTTCACAAGCTTGATGGTATAAAGAAAGAACCCACAACTCCTATTGACTTTTGTGATTTAAGTTGACTTCTGTAGGAACTGTGAGGTACACCTCTCAGGATTTGGTCCCAAATAACTATATTTGCTTTAAAATATTTGTAAAAAATGGTGTCTCTGGAGCATTCTTTCGACCATGACTAATTTGGAGCAAACACTTGTGGCATTATGGCAAATCCTGTTCATTTTGAAGGAAGTTGACCTTGAATAAATTTTATATATTATATATTAAATAAAGCAGAAATGAGTGGTTCTCAGGTACGTTCAGTAGTGATCTCCTTGCAGTGGGGAAAATGGGTTTAAGGAAAGTCTTGGACAGGGGATTATTTTTTAACAGAGAATCAGAAAAACGTAAGTATTTTGGTAAGGGTTTTGAATAACATGGAAAATTGGAAAGGCAACTTCACAAGAAATAGCCTCCACTGTTGGTCAGATTACTGTCTTGTATCAGCCACACTTCTGAAGAAAGATAAGCTCAACTCTCACTGGTCATTCCACCTCTCCCATTTCCTATTCAATGAGTTAGGGCCAGCCTGGGGACAACATTGACAGGCTGCATATCTAAGGGTAGGCTTGTTGACCGTTGGTGGGAGAAACCACATTATCTGGGATGTGGAAGACCCACATTCAAATCTCCTCTCTGGACCAGTGATTTGACCCCAGGGCTTCCCTCTTGCAGCTGAGTGTAGGCTATTCTGGGATGGGTCCCTCTTAAGCTCTCTTACTGAAGCTTTTCTATTTCCTGTAAATAGTCAGTCACTGGAGCAGGACTTGAACTTGAGTCTTCCCCCGCTCAAGTGAGTGCTGTAACCACCGGGTTATAGGAGGGCATTCCGGGGTGGATCTCTTTCTATTTCTCCTGTTGACACTGATCCATTTTGTGTAAAATACTTAAAAAGTCAGTGGTCCAGAGAAGGACAGAATGACTCTCTAAGGGAAGACCCAAGTTTAAGTGTGAAATGTTTCATTTGACCCAAAACAGGCCTTTTGTCAACTTCTTCTATTCATTGAATATTTCCAAAAAGTTCAGATTTGGCCTGACTTGAACCAAATTTTTTTCTGATTTTTCAGAACTGCCATTGAATCAAAAAATCGATTACTGACACAGCTGTAGTCCTGTAATGTCCCTGCTATCATACAAATAGAAAGGAATAGCCTAGTTCAGTGGTTCTCAAACTTGGGCCGCCGCTTGTTCAGGGAAAGCCCCTGGCAGGCCGGGCCAGTTTGTTTACCTGCCGCGTCCGCAGGTTCGGCCGATCGAGGCTCCTACTCGCCACTCCAGGTCAATGGAGGCTGCAGAAAGCGACGCAGGCCGAGGGACGTGCTGGCTGCCCTTCCTGCAGCCCCCATTGGCCTGGAGCGGCCAACCGTGGCCAGTGGGAGCCGCGATCGGCCGAACCTGCGGACACGGCAGGTAAACAAACTGGCCCAGCCCGCCAGGGTGCTTACCCTGAACAAGCGGCGGCCCAAGTTTGAGAACCACTGGCCTAGTTCTTTCACCACCGCTTATCCAGTGTTGATATCTGATGTTGATTCTCCTGTCTAAGTTGCAGATACTGTGTTTGTTTTATTTCAGTGAACAGTGCATAGAAGCATATGAGCTGCTGCTGGCTTTGGCAGAAAGTGAACAGAGTCTCATTCTTGGTCAATTTAGAGCTGCAGGCGTTGGTTCTGTTGGTAAGATCTCAATGAGTCACTCTCTAAATCCTATTCTGCACTTCAGTTAACATTTATCAATTTACAAGGGCTGGTTGCAACAGTGAATCATCTCCTGACAGTTTGTTACCCACCAAATATGTGCTTATTTTCATGTTTTCAACTGAATAAATAAAATGTTTGACACACATAAAAATTGGGACTGGAACCGAAACAAACTATTATAAGCAAGTTAAAATAAACCATATATGGTATTACAGGAGATGCATCTTCTGGACTTGTGGGATTACTTTTGTTGGGCAATAACCATATACCAAGCACAGTGATTAAACTGATACCTCCAAGCACCCAAGCATGCACTTCACATACTGAATGCAGTGGTTTGGGTTACATAATTTGCACTTGCAATTACCACAGTTGTGTACATAGCCACAGTATTTGCCCACAAAAATTGTGTTTCATAAAAATCTGGTCTTAAATCTGTACTCTCAAATATATCATAATGCAGATAAAATACCACATGCAGTCTTTACCTCCAAGCTCCCATGGTACTCTTGTGTTTTAACATTTCCTTCTCATGTTTTACTGCATGGACTGAGGTTTCGGCCTCTGTTTTCTGTGTTGTTCTATTTCATTTCGTTACTCAGCAGCACACACTGACACTAGTTAACACTGCTATTGAAAATGTTCTTTGGGGGATGGTGCTTTCCTAATAACAGAGTCAGCCCGTTTATTAATCCATTTTCAACATGGTACATGCGAGTTCTATGCACACAAGTCACATTTTCTGTCAATAAATAAATGTTTTCACTGTGAAACTAACTCTTAGTTTTACAGAGGCTCATTCCTCTTACTGATGGGAGGGAGTGGTAGTAGTAATCTTGGACCTTGCTTTGGGGGGAGGGGAGGGAGAAGGTATATGAAACCTTCAGACAGAAAAATAGCTTTCCGTACTGTGCTGAGACCTAGACACTGCCTTTAGACACTAATTTATAGCGCCAGCTTCTCAAGAACCACTGAAATGTAAACTGAAAGCTTTTAAGGACCAAACGACCAGCTGGTTTCAGAGCCACAAGACGGATGAGTTCCACCTCTTGTTTCTGCAGGCTAGACGCAATGATCCACAGTTACTACGCTGTTTCCAGGCAGTTTACTTTGCATCTCTCCTAGTGGTTTGTGCAAGTCTTTGTGTAGGTGTGTTTCTCCTTGCAGAGTATGTCATGCAGGAAAGGTCGCAGCAGATCATTATTATTTTTTTTTTTCCTTTTTCTCTAGATTCTAGCCCTTCCTTTTGGTAGTCTGGTACTGAATTTGTACTGCTGTTTCTTTATGAAAGGGCATTAGGAGCAAGTGTGTATTAGGCCTTAGATTTTGCTAGTCAAGAAGTAAATCCAGAAAGGAAAGTATTAGTTTTCTTCTCCATGTTCAGGTTATAAAAGAGAGGGTGTAACCTACATTTATATAGGTGTCTACCGTCAACTTTTTTTTTAATAGTAGCATTACCACTCACACCCTTTAGTGGAGACTGTGCCAGCGTTTCCATCATAAATCTTGTTTTTCAGGAAGTTATAGCTTGGCTGTGAAACTTTATTTCACTGAGAAATTTAGTCAGAAGAGTCTTTGCCTGACAAAAGTTATTGTTTTGCATTAGTTTAAAGTAAAAATTAGTTTAGTTTATATTTAAAGTTAGACACCGAACAACCCCTCCCCACGATCCTGAGAGCCGTCTCATTATATCGGAGAAATATACATTTTCCAAATTTACACAAATCCCAGAATGTCTTTATTAATGATTTGTCTAGCACCACAAATCTGGTTGTGATGGTTTGTTTGTTAAAATAATAAATTTGGTGCCAAATCCTAATGCCTTACTCAGTCCCTTGCAGGTAAAACTACCAT